TCTTCGGTCCGTCCTGGGTGTCCCGATATGTTCATTTGACATGGGATACGGAGGGATAATTGTGAGATGTGAGTAGGAAAGAAGGCAGCATGGACTGACTTTTAAATTCGTTAGAACATGTAGGATATTGAAGCATATTTTATTCTGGATCATCAGCTCCTGTCGGTCGGAGAGGCGAACTAATGCCCCCCGCGAAAAGAGGCGACTGGGCCTGTTCGCCGTCCCGATGGCTGGACTAGCCCGTATTGACGGTACGCCTCGAACCAGCTGTATTTCTTCACCATAGCTATGACTGAATTCAGGTAGATATATAACTGTTATACTATTATTCTAGAAAGCTACTGTATATTTAAATAAAAAGCATCAAAAGGTATACCGCCTACTGTTGAGGCTACGATGCAGTGCAGGCAGGATTCTCGGCTCTCGGGAAAGTAACAAGCTGGGGCGCTGCTGTCTCCGGATTAACAGCGCCCGCTTAAACCGCCAGGCTAAGACCAGCGTCGGGCCTCCGCAATTTGCTGAAATGCGGATGTTGTAACTTGTAACTTGCCAGTAGTAGTAGTAGGGTAGATAGCTGTTGATACTGTGGGAACTATCCGGGGACTGGCCGCTTTTTTACTTTTCTTTTCTTTCTTTCTTTTTTCCTTCTGTGTCGGAGGTCAGCGAAACGACACACATTCATCATCTGAATCATTTCCCTTCATCATCTCTTCTTGCTCTTCCTTTCCTCCACTCTCTTTCCCTCTCTCTTCTTCTTCTTCTCCACCTCTACCTACCGAGTATTATTATCCTCTTTTTCCTATACTCGCCGTGTCCTTCTGACGAACTCCTCCAATCCCGTCTCTCCCCGATTTCTTTCCTTTGTTTCCTCCTCACGTCGCGTTGCCGGTCCGGTGCCCCGATTTTCTGTCTGGCATTCCTGCTCCCCCACACTCCGCTTATTCCGTCCGTCGCCCAGGTTGAATGGTCGCTCCTCGCCTTCCTTGCTTCCAGCTTCGCTTCCTTGCCTGTCGCACTCTACACCTCTCCCGCCTTGACTCGTCTACCATAATTTAGCTTATCCCTATCCTGGTCGCACATCACTTCACTACGCCTGGTTGATCTAGTGACCGGTTTTCATCGTATTATTCGTGTTTCTATCCACAGTGCTGTGCACCGGAAGTTAGGTCCAAGGTAAGTCACAGTCGCCAGTTGACCATTTGGAAATCCAGATCCATGGCTAAGTTCATGCGATTCTTAGGCGGTCATCGGCTTATTTCGTCGTCATCCTCAGCCGAACCTTGGGCCACTTCGAAATTCTGGGACTTAACGCGAAGGCATAGACGCGGAAGACCCCGGTGTCAGCCACGCCTTTTCTTAACCTACGTCACCTCTCCTTTTACATCCACTCAACATGCGATCGAGTATAGCCTGCGCTCGGTGCCGACGGAGCAAGATCAAATGCGTCAATGCCGGTATTGACACCACCTGTCGTGCATGCGAGTCGTCCGGTCGAGAATGTGTATATCCAACCCCGGCCATCGGCGTCGGCGGTGGCGCGGCCAAACGAGACATTGCCGCCATGGCCGATGGGGAGGATCGCAACGGCGACTGGGATAGCCCCAAGCGACAGCGCTCCCGCAAGGCCGTCGGTGTGTCCTCGTCGGCGGCCAAAGATGCAGCCAAAGCCTCGCTGGAGGTGCTCGACTCGTCCGTGCTGACCGTCAAGGTCTGGGAGGCCGTCTTTGATCTTTTCCAGTCGCATTACGCCTTCATCCTGCCCTTTCTTCATCCCGCCTCCTTTCTCGGTCAGATTCGACAGCTCTCCGGGAGCACATCGTCCAGCAATGCCACCAACTCGGAAAACAACCGAGACGCCGCACAAAGTCCTCCCGCCCCCAAAGCCGAACCCAACCCCCTCATTCCTCTCGGAGTCCTCGCGCTCACGGCTCGATTCCATCCCCATCTGGTTGCCTACCATTCGCCCTCCTCCCCCGGCAACCCTTCGAACCCCCTCGTCGCATCCGAATTCTATGCGGCAGCGCTGCGCAGCCGGCTGGCCGGCGTCGATGGCGCCAGTCTGGCGATCCCCGATCTCACACGTGTCCAGGCGCTGCTGATGCTCGCACTCCACGAATGGGGCATGTGCCGCGGCAAGAGCGCCTGGCTATATGTCGGCATGGCGATCCGGCTGTCGCAGGCCATGGGGCTGCCGTTTGAGCTGGAGAATGAGCTCTTCTCTCGCGAGGGTCTCCGATCGCCAGCCCTCAAAGCCGAGGCGGAGCTCTTTGGCGTGCGGCGCGGTCCGGAACCGAAAGAGCAGACGTCCGACGATGTGATCGCTCAGGAGACGAAGCGACGGACCTTTTGGGCCTGCTTCATCCTCGACCGTTGTCTTAGCAGCGGGAAATATCGTCCCCGCATGATTCGGGTCAAGGAACTCGGCATTCAGCTGCCCAGCGACAACGCTTTTGCGTTTGGGGAGCGCGTGCGAACGTCGCGTCTGAACGAGCCGTCCGCCCGTCGCCCCCAGAGCTTCGGCTCGCAGGGTATGCAAATTCCCAGCATTCGTCAGAGTATCGGAGGCTTCAGCGATGACAAACTGCCCAACAATGTCCCGCCGGACAACAAGCCGTGGTCTCCGATCTCCCGGCGAAAGGACTCGAGCGAGGATGAGATCGACCGATGGGAGATTGGGGCCGAGGAGTCGGTGCTGAGCCGGGTGATTCGCATCGTTCGGATCTGGGGGAGTATCGCCAAGTGGTCTTGTGCCGGTGGACGAAGGTATGCGCAATCCCGTCGCATCGTTCATTCTCCTTCTGTGGCATCACCCCAAACTAACATCGATAGAACGGAACAACTCGCTCCATGGCATATCGACTCTAGGTTTTCGAAACTGCGGACGATGCTAGGCGAGTTCCAGGACGGTCTCTCGCGCAATCTGCAGTATTCACCCCGAAATACCGACACCCACATCATGTACAAGAACAAGCTGGCGTCCTACACTGTCATGCATGTGGTGTATTTTCTCTCCGTCATTGTCCTGCACCGCGCCTATATTCCCTTTCTTCCGGTCCGGTGCAACGAGCCAATCGGTCCCCTGGACGAGCCGCTGTTCCCCGGCGAGAGGTCAGGGGCGCCAGATGGATTCTGGAGGGACAGCGCACGTGAGCTGTTCCGGGCTGCCCGACAAATGCTAGACCTCGTGGTAACCTGCCAAGAGCGCGGTGTTCTTGTTGAAAATCCACTGGTTGGGTTTGCCATCTACAATGCGGCCTTTATCGGCGTCTACGCGGTACACTTTCCGCACATGGACCTGGAGGGATCGTTGAATCTCAGGCCCGGTGCCACTGATGGAACGCACGGGCAGGTGCAGACTGGCAAGGCTCTCGATATCTTGCGAGATATGCGGTCGCGCTTGAAGATGGCCAATGGATGGTTCCGCACGCTGAATCGACTGCACAGCTACTTTTCCAAGGTGAAGCGCGACTTCCGACGCCACTCCCGCCTGGACACTCTTGACCCCCATACCAACGGAATCCGCCCGGTACGGGAGGGCGGTGCTGGAGGAGGCCTCGAGGAGTTCAAGCTGCTCGAAAAGCTGTTCCTCGACTTTGGCAGCATCGACGACCGGCTGCCCGAGAACGCTGCCGACGATGACGGGGCCGACCGTGCGACCAACGTCAGTGATGCGGGCAGCAACGCAGTCCGCAGTGACCCTGGCGAGATGGCCGAGGCTACCCTCGACGGTGCCAGCGGCCGGCGCGAGTCATGGGTCCCCATCAACAGCCCTGGCCTCCCTTTGCCTGGACCGGATGCCGAGCGGCGGCCCAGCCTGCCGTTGCCTCCACGGGCCTTGCAGCCGCAGTCGCCGTATTCGCTCCCGTCGCTGCAGCACCACCCCGACGGTCCTCTCTACGGCACCTCCTCGCCGAGCCTCCCGTCTCTTGCTCCTTCTGCAGGGGCTCCCCCGCCACAGTATGGCCAAGCGCCGCCCTCGAATCGTCTCCAACCATTGAACTCGTGGCTCTCCCGCCAACAAGGCCCATACTCGCAGTCGCTGCCCCCGATCAACCAGGCGACCTCGCATGGCCTGCCACTGCTGCCCCCGCCGGGATCCGTCAACCACCCTGCGGCCTCGCCCCCGGTGACGGTGGACGGATTTGAAGGTGGTGTGTCAAACGCCATGTGGTCGACTAGCCTCGGCGGGGATGATGTCGTTGCATTTCTGGAGGGATGCGACTATGACCAGCTATCTAGCATGATGCCATCCGAGGTTGGCATTCCTGCTGGATGGTTGAGCACCGTGTGGAGTGAATTCTCCCGGTAGTTCCTTTATTTTCTTTTCTTTTTCTCTCTTATGCTCCTTGGTTGTACTATATTGTACGTCTCATGTACTGTATGATTATATGTCTTCTCTTGCGGATGGCGGATCACACTGGTGATCTAGCGTATGGACTGCGGGTATGCTTGGGTTTCGGGTAAAAGCCATGGTATGGCAATTGTGGTATTTCGCAACTGGCGCTCGGCAACTGGCGCAAGCGAGTTTTGGATTTCTTGTGAGCGCGGCGTTGGTCAGTTGGTAGCAGTTAATCTTGAACAATTTGTGACTACCTTTCAACAGAGTAATTAATCGCTATGCACTCACCAGCTGGCTCTATGAAATCCGTCATAAGGTGTCCATAATTAATATCAATCATCGTCGGGTCAGCGTTATTGCAACGACAGACCAAATATCCCACAACACTGACCATACGTTTACCCTGTTTCCTATAGTTCCATAGTTTTGTGTGCTGGTCATTGCTTACTTCCATTGCCAGCATTCTTATACAACTGTAACAAAGTGTAGAAACTACGCAGTTGCTGCTGATGACATCAACTCGGCAATCAACGTGCTGCATCTATAAAACTACCTCTCTACCTTTATTGTTGACCAAGCAGCGTATGACAGACAGTCCTGCATCGTCACGTGCTTGTGCATCTGTCACTGTCTGGCTGCAGTCTCATCAACTACCTCTGCAATGACAGTGATCTGTACCCATTCAATCCACCAGAAAGCTGAGTCTGCCCAAAATGCAAATCATCTGGCGAGACTCCGACTCCAACGCCGCCAACCCCTCAGGAGGCATCTACGAAGCCGCCGCCACCCGGGGTATCTTCAACAAGCGCCGCCCCCCCAAATATCCCCTCGCCATCCTCAAAGCAAGCTGCCAAGAGGACGTGGTTTCCAAACCCTCCGGATCGCAGGTGGTGCTCAGACAACACCTACCTCGAAGACAAGCACGACATTGTCCATATCCTCGAAGAAGGATTCCTCACTCTCCCGAGCGCCGACAGCTACGCATTCTGGTGCCCGATGACACCGACCCGCAAAAGAAAACCACCGGACATGGCGTTCAGCATGCAATCGGACCATTATTTCGCGGTGTACGCGGGCTGGAAGAACGAAGCGGACGACGAGAGGCGCCAGTCGTGGCTGCAGCTTGTCATGGACAAGATCAGATCACATGGGGTCGGGACGTATATAGGCGAGTCGGATTTTTCTGTGCGACCTGATCTCTACTGGGCGGAGGACAATGAGAGCCGATTGAAGGAGATTCGTCGGAGATGGGATCCTTATGGTCGGTTTTGCGGCTTTCCTTGAGCTGAGCGCGATGATAGCATGCAGAAAACATTACGGAAATCTCAAGACTGGAGCGTCGCCATGGCTACACTGCTTTCCCTGCATTAAGGACAACAGTGACTATATTAAAGAATCCTACGCGAGGTTGATATAAAGCTATAGAAGGCTTGAAGGTACTCACCTCATATAAGCTGTAGTGTTTTACTCAAGGACATGGATTCCATGTGAATATGGTTGCACAGTATAGGGGCTATATGCTAGCAGCGGAAAAAGCATTGCTATTGGTAGGTGGACGATGAATTCACTCGGGTTTGATGAATAATTGGACCAGGATGGATTTTGGATATTAGTACGTTGGCTTAGGGTTTAGTTTGTCGCGGACAGGCATTTGAGATAATTGATGCTTAGAGCAGGAGATATCGTGATTACCGACTAATTCTGTTGGAGACTGACTCAAATGTCCGGTCGTTGAATTAGGGTTAACTCACGCTTGGCTAAGATCAACACTCCAAGTAAAGCCACAGCCCATAGAATATACAAGAACCTCCATACAGTAATAGTTGTTGGTAATGCTTGACTGATATATTTAATCTCATTGGCAGTTACACCAGTCATGACATCAACCTCGTATTCCTTCTTGGCTTGAGTCATCCTCCAGCATATATATCACGTATCTCACCCAAAGCATCAAAACTCAACTCGCCATCTCCACATACATGTATATAAGTAAAATGCCCAAAGTAGCCATCGCAGGAGGCTCCAGCCCAACGCTGGGCGCATCCATTCTCGCCGCCCTCTCCACCACGCACAACTGGACCCCCGTCATCCTCTCTCGACAAACCAACAACCCCAAACCTTCACCCCCAGGCATCGAAACCCGCTACGTGGACTATACATCCCATACATCTCTCGTCGCCGCACTCAAAGACATCGACACAGTCCTCAGCGTCGTGCTCATTCCCGGCCCAGAATCCATCACCTACCAGCTCAACCTTCTCAACGCCGCGATAGAAGCAGGCTGTCGACGGTTCGCGCCGTCCGAGTTTGCCCTCTGCGAGCAGGCCCAGGCGCAGGTTGATTTGTTACAGTCGAAGAATGTCGTCTGGGAGGCGGTCAAGGGCAAGGTTGAAGAAGGGCTGATCGACGCGGCGCGCTTCCCGTGCGGCATGTTCATGAATTACCTGGGGATTGGGATCGGCGGCGAGAAAGAAAAAGAGGCACGGGCTGGGTTCGCCGAGGGTGCGTTCCTCGTGCACTTGGACGCTGAGCCGGCGTATGTGGTGCTTCCTGTGAGAGCGGACGGATCGGCGCCGTCCCTCACGTTGACGGATATTCGGGACGTGGGGAGATTTGTGGCTGCTGCGCTGGAGATGGAGGAATGGGGGGGAAGAGAGTTGGGGATGGCGGGTGATACCCTCGGGTTTGAGGAATTGATTAGGCTCTGTGAGAGGTATACCGGCAAGAAGGTCGAGGTGCGCCGGGTGACGATGCAGCGGCTGGAAGAAAGATTAAAGGCGATACCTGATGGAGATGTGCTCAAGCGGATGGACTGTCAGATAGCCATGGCTTGCGCGAGAGACGGGTCGGTGGTGCCGGGGGTGTTGAATGAGGTGTGCAACGTCCAGCCGGTCAAGGTGGAGGAATTCCTCCGTAAGTACTGGAGATAATAGCCAGAGAAGGGCAATCGTTCAATGGCCTTTTTCGCCTTTTCTGGCATTTCAATAAGCAAGTGTTCGTCTCTTGGATGCAGGTTAATCACCAGCTTTACAGGCTCAAAAATGCTTTCTGGCAATGAGGTAATGCAACGGCAACAATTGTAAGATCCTTCACGACGGCTGGTATAGAGAGGAGATAGGTCTCCAATTGACGGTCCAGGAAACACATGCTATAAGTGTTTATCAATGTTAGTTGCGTCCACAGTTACAAATTGTTTAGATTCTACTGGATGGTTATTAATGGACTTCTCGGGTTGCTCAGTCTTTCTGCCCGTCTTCTGCCTACGCTTAATCTGGTCGTTCCCATGCGCAGAAGTGGCCAACTGTCTGGTGAGCCCAACCGCATCGATCGACGAAGCGAAGCAATTGCCTGAGACTGAGGCAGGAGGCCTGGCACCACTGCAGGATTCGATGTGAGCGCAGTACAAACTAAGCACTGGCGGAGGTCCACCACCTAGAAATCTCAGCAATCAAGCATTAGCTGCAACGTCATGGTAGTTGAGAACCCAAAGGTATACTCACAGGATAAAGGCGACGATGACGATGACGATGACGATGATGATGGAAGAAGAAGGGAGAAAGAGGAAATAGGGGAAGAAAGCTGATATAAGCAACAGAATTGCTGACATTGCTCCTGCCTTACTTGAGTTAGATGAGAAGTCAATACTCGACATTTGTAAATGACGCATATCAGGAGTGACTCATGAAAGAGGAAGAATATAAAGTAGAGGGGCATAGTGTTTTGAATGACTAGATAAGAAAGTCTTACCAACCTAATACAGCAGACTCCTTCCTTCTCTCATGATTTCCCACTGTATACGTCTTGCAGGAGAACTTGATAGATCAGAGGTTTCTATAATGCTTACTATCTTGAACTTAGGTCTTGGGGACAGTTCGAGCCCTCAACTACATATAAAGGATTTAGCCCTTATATAATGCTCAGATTATATGATAGTATAAGGAGTAACAGGCGGAGATTCTGCCTATTAAGAGTGGTTTAAGCTATTACTGCACCACTGTTAACGGTGTGCTAAGAGATGCTGACTTCTGTGAAAAAGCTCTCTAGAACTTGTCATGAAACAGATAGAGTATAACTATGGCAATCAGACTAGCGACATCTCAGTCAGTTCACTTACCAGAACATGCAACACCAATAATAAGTAGTAATTTGCAAACAATAGACGAGAATAGCAACAAAAAAAGAAACGGATCAGAGAGGGGGGAGTACTCCACCCCCTCTCTGATCCGCCCAGGTCCTGCCCGTCTAAGAATATTCTAAGAATATTCGTCACCGGGCAACGAGCAGGGCCTGTCTCGAACCCGGACCAGCAGTGCAGTTGGGCTACTGCAGTTTAGCCCGCTGCACCACCAGTCCGGGTCAGTTGACAGTATGATATAATAGAGGGTCATCTGTTGTGAAGTCGGTGGCCTAAAAGGGAAGTGAATGGGCAGATGCCTGGGGGTTAAGGCATCGTTGGTGAGGCAGAGACAGGATCGCGACTGCCTTCGTTGCATCAGGTCTTTGGCTGGCAAGAGGTGGGTAGGACTCGTCAACTCCGACGCCGAACTGAAGAGTCGAACTGGCCAACAAGGTAGGCGCGCTATTAACGATATCTTGATGATGCTTTACGCTGAGCCTTCCTCTCTGTGGATTAGATGCCCTTTGTTCTGTTCTCGATTTCAGGCCAGACGGCTATAGACCTCTCATCTCATCTTTGACTTACAACGAGAATCCTACCCCCGACGTCTTACACCTTAACATACAATGGACACATCAACTCCGTCGAACGACCAGCACTCACTACTACTATCAACCATTTGGGTTATAACAATGGCACTCACCTATCTGGCTATCCATCGCCTGTTCGAGACATACTTGAGTGCAAGGGCAATGGGATCTCTTGATTATGCTGCAGTCATCGCGACTGCCGTGCGCGAGCTTGAAAATACGGATAAGAACTTAGACAGCTTGGAAGGAGGCCTTCTGGAAGTTAGACGACTTGTTATGCAGGCTCACGACAAGGTGGTGAGGTCTCCAGAGATAAGCAAGATGCAGGCATCTCAATGTAAGCGGGTGCTGGAGCTCGGACGGAAAATCATCCACTCTCATGATACGGTGCTTTCGATGTCTCCAGAGATAAGGGAGCTGCATGCGGCTCAATGTACTCTGACGCCGGAGCGACGCCAGACATTTGTTTGTGAAGAAGAGTCGCAGACTGCCGTTGGGGAGGACGGAAATCGTTATCGTCGGGAGCTTGAGGGGCAAAGATCGCTACAGGATTACGCAGGTGTTGGGCTCTAGCTGATGACAACAGAGACTTGTTATGCTAGAAACTTGCTTCTTCATGTGATTCAGTCAACAATGGAATATCATTCTCTCTGATATCTCTACATTGATCTGGACTCTGAGCCACCGTGTCCGAACTTGACAAAGTCGTTGACAGGAACTCCAATGCGCAGCAAGTCCGAAGGACCAGTCTAATATAAAAGCGACACCACACATCGCTGAATAATAGGTCCCATCCATGCTTCCTCAGTTCCTCTTCCAGCCTGCGAAAGATTTAGTACCCTTCCCTAGATCAATCACAGGGAGGCTTCATCCACGCTGTATCCAGCGGATTGCATCACACCCTGCCAGGACCAATGTCTGTAATAACCCTAATCCTCAGCTGCGGCGCAACTAAGCAAACCCTGCCATGGCACCGCAAGAATCTACATGAACTGTCACCGGAATGGAAGCATATATAAGATTCACTAGACCCACCAGCAAAGAACACCTCAACTGAAAGACAAGCTTCTTACGGCACGCACAAAGTCCCTTTCGACTAGCTCCACAAAAGTTGGGCCTCCATGGACCAGTATATCATCCGCAAACAGCAGATAATTCCACAAGACATACCCTCTTCAAATTACAGGACGCATATCGAACCAAAAATGGTCATGGTGTTATCGACCAGGCCTTCTGCGATCATGTTGGCGTAGTTAAAGACGGAGGTGGTCCCATCATAAGCTGCGTCCACGCAGACGAATTCTTCTAGGAGAGAAGTACAGTATCCGGTGTGGGTCTCAAGACGGATGCGCAGAGATGAAAGCTTCTGGTCATATCCATATCGGATCTCTAATTATCCCTCAAATTTATGATCTGATCGGCGTAGCTTATCGTTCCTTCAGTCTACAGAACCATAATGACAGCGGAGACAGGACAGCTCATTTTGGCTGAAAACCACTCGCCTAGTATGTGCAAATGATTCTTGCCAGTAATCCCAAGGCTGAACTGCTGGTTCTATTATGAGTACCTTTATCATGGCGCAGGCTGCCGAATCAACTAAGCTGAAGGACATAGAATGATATCTCATCCTTTGTCCGCTCAAACTTTGTATAATGCACGTAGGCTCAGAAGGATACTTAGTGATAAAGCACCTGTGAATGATAGTGTACCTTTAACCCGAACGATGAAGAAAAAGCTATACAGAATCTTCCGGCATGCACCTCAGAATGCACCATCCACCGACGACTAATCGCCCAGCCCTGACCCTACGACGACTAATCGACGCAGTGAAAGGGCACACGATCAAGAGAAATGTATCCTGCTTTATTCAAAATTCCTTTCTCTGCAAAGAAAGAAGCCAAAGACAAACACAGCTGAAATACAACACCACTACCTTACTTCTTGGATGGTTTTCCCTTTCGTCTTCTAGCCACTTGGACATCAGACGCTTGGATATCTCTCCTCCCTCTGAGACAAGAAAAGGGATAAGAGATCGCCAAGATGGTCTACTTTCCCTCTGAGGTCGTCGACATCATCATGTCTCATGTCGATCCCGAAGACTTCTATACGCTCCTCCAGTGTGCGCTGGTCAATCGTCAGTGGTCCAGATCGGCTCTTCGCGCTTTGTACCGGTAGGTGTTCATCGAGACAGGAGATTACCGGCGGTTGCTAACAGGAATAGCTCTGAGGCTCTCTTCCCGGGTGTCCACAGAGCGTCTGCATACGAACACTCCAGGATCGTAAGGACGCATAGTAGCAGGATAGCTGGGTCGTATGCTGACGGGGCCATAGTCCATAAGACCAAATGCATGGTCCAAATTTTGGTGGACTCTGATCTTGTCTGCTTTCACCTTTGAGACTTATCTCCCCTACGCCGAATTCCTTCACACGCTCGACTTGTGCGACCTTGCGCTTTTGATTCATCTCGACAAAGGTTTTGCCGAGTAAGTGGCGTATGCTCGGTCTTGCTCAAGCGATCGCTGCTAATATTGGAGTAGCCAGGTGCGGTATGGTCGATTCGCATTCGATCTCAAAATCATCTGCCTTGAAAACTATTGCAACATCTGTGCTGCCGTCGGTTGGGGTAAGTGTTCGATGACAGTCGATGTGACCGTAGGTGCTGACCGATCCAAGTCATTTTAGCGGTAAACTCTGGAATCACCAGCTTGGTCTGTGACAGTTGCCCCGAGACTTGGGATAATGAGGAGGAAAGAGACCGTTATCTTGGGGTGTCTTCGTCCGTTCTCGACTGGTGGGCTCCTCGTCTGATCCGTCTCGAGACTCTCTGGTACAATATGGGAAAGCATCTGCACGTGGACAATGCACGCAGTATCGCACGCCATTGCCCCCGGTTCAGGAACCTGATCGTGTGGGAATGGATGGAATCCACCATCAGTAGTGCCAGATTCGCCCTCGATGATTCCGACAGTGATACAGAAGAGGAAGAGACGTCGGCTGGAGATTTCCTCATGGCTCTGCGGCGCAATACCTTGGAACGGTTCGAAATCTCTCGTGATGCGCACTTCAAGCCCTCCATGGTCACCGGCCTGATTGCTCATTCGCAATCCATGCGTGAGTTGAGATTGCCCAAGTTCCGTTCGGAGCTGGTGGTCAAACTCATGCAATCGAATCCCTTGCAGTCCCTGGAAGCCATCCACTTTTTCCTCGGTTACGAAAAATGCGCTGAGCTAGCTCAGCCGTTCGGAAAGTGGCTCGGTGCATGCAGATCCCTGCGTCGGATCGAGACTTGGCTCTACCATGATGAACTCTTGATGCTAGCGAATGCCCTCAATCACGGCCTCGTCTCCTTGGAAGTTCTCGTCGTCCAGCAAAACTACGAAGATAACCCCAAGATCATCGACGCCTTCTACCGCGGCATCTCGCGCCAGCGCAACATGCAGGAGCTGACCCTCAACACAGAGATGACGAGCGATAAGAGTCTATTCATGTGGTGCCTCTTCCCGCTGAAGAAGCTGCGCAAACTCAATCTCCGGAGAATGTCGGCCCAGCTTACGTTGCCCGACATTAGAGCTCTTACCTCCAGCTTCCCCGACCTCACCTGGCTGGGCCTGTACGTGACTCCAGTCCTCGACGAAATCTGGGACTACATCGTCGCGCCCAAGCTCCGCTACCTCCACTTGGTCGGCATTGGTGTCTTGCACGCTCAACCAGTGCTTGATTACATTCATCGTCTGGGCGAGCAGAACAGGGGATTCATCCTGAAGCTCAAGTTCAGCACCTTTGCTGAACTTTACACCACTGTCTCGGACGCGGACCATCGCGCCATTGCGTACGCGCTGTTCAGCCATCTGGACGGTCGTCTCCTGCCGTACAGAGAAATGCTCTAACGAGATCATTGGTCTGGTGATTAGCCTTGTCGGGTTGGACATACGGTTGGATCAGAATCATCAAACATAGCAGACTGGTTTCTTTCGACTGTCATTTGTCATGTCATTTCAGGATTGATGCTGGATGATCTTGGTGGAACAATGCAGGATGTTTGAGCATAGGTGCTTCATAACATAATTAGGAATCCAGAATCCAGTCACCGTCTTCTTGCTATCATTTGTAATGCGTAGGTTTATCGGTCCCTCGGACCTCAACAGTGAAGCACAACCCCGACGTATCAGAAGAGAAAACCATCTCAACAAACACAGCAAACAAACCAAACGCAAAACAAACAGTCAAAGCGCAAAATGAGGACGCCACCATTTCTCCAATCCACCAATCACCACCGCCAATTGCTGTACACATCTTTTGTACTGTTTGTTCACGGTTTCACTCTTTCCCAAGAGAAGATGCAATAAGAAGGGGCTGCAAACGGAGGGAGCCCGAAGGCCGTCAAAATGTTTTCTTCTCTCATGAGCATGCATTTATGAAAATCTTGAGATCTGAGCCAAGTGCAAATGGTAATTTGATGATATGCTCTCTCACGACCCTGGTCTCGCATATAGTCCGGCTGAGTCGCTGCTGAACCCGTTCCCCTATGTTTGGGCGTGGATTGCTTCGTTTTGGACGAGGGAGGGGGTTGAGTCAGTCATGCAGTGTGAGAGGAATACATCTGTGTCTGAATCTCGGCCGGGGGAAAAATAACGCTTGGTCGGAGGTTGACACCCGGAGCGATGGTAAGTTTCTTTGTGGGATGTCAGATTTGACTGGCTATCAAATCAATGATAGACTGACACTGTTGATGCAGATAATGCGTGAATTTCTGCGATACTGCTGTGAGGGGTAGAAAGACCAACCGCGATATCCTATCGGCTTAGACTTAGAAGGCGAAAAGAGGAGGCGCATGACGATGCGCATAGCCGTATGTGGAACTGGGAGTCAAGCAACGACCGAAGGGATTCAATTACACATAGTATATACCCTTGACTTCATGAACTCATATTCCAATCAACACACCCAATATATACACATACAAGAGCGACAATGAAATCCCGTCGGTGAGACTACAAGACACCCCTCTGCAACTTGGATAATCTCTTGCCCAATTGGTCCCTCGCCTCCTGGCACATCTTGGGAATATCTGCGTTGGCAATAATACCATTCCGGTAATTGATCGCCTCTTCAATCTTCTTAAAGTCATCATTAACGCCTTCGGCCAACCACTCGTAGCTGTTCCCGATAAACCTGCTGCTCTGTACCAGCCACTGAGACCGCTCACGGCGACTGGTATCATAAGCAGCAAGGACAGCTTCGAGGTCCTTGTGAGTCTGCACCCGTTCGTCCTCCAGCAGCGCAGCCAGCACGGCCGTATCCTCGATGCAGAATCCGGCTCCGGCACCGTGGTGCGGCGATGTGGCGTGTGCGGCGTCACCGGAGATACAGATGCGGTCTTTGTAAAAGGTAGGGACTGGGTGGTCGCCTAGATCGAAGATTGCCCACTGTCTGGGTCAGCAACCGTGATGCAATTCCATACAGTGAACATACCACACTGAGCTTCTCCTCGGTCAGTTTCAAAAGGTTGATGACGTTTGGCCCGTAGCCTGCAAAGTCCCGGAGAGCTTCGTCGCGCGTACCCTGCCTGGTCA